ACCAGTGAGCACGGTGAGTGACCTGAGCTAAGTCACCAATCCCAGCAGGTGTCATAAAAAAAATTTTTTTTGCCCTTTTCCCAGGAAAACAGGAAGTCTGGGAAGAGATTTTTAATGTGTTTGGCTATCTTTATTGTGGGACTTTGTACTACTTTGCTTTTTTGGGGGGTAATCATTTCATCCCGATTTAGTCAAAGTGGCTGTCAGTAATTAAATACAAGTCACTTTGTGTCCCTGCTGTTGCATCTTGCGTACATGTGCTGAGCAAGGTGCTCAAAGTCCCCGGAGGCACTGGCCTCAGCAGTCGAGCTGCTAAGGAGCTTGAAGATACCCAGCAGGGGGGCTTGGCACGGGGTGGACCGGGGGCTTCCCTGGAGGCTGCTCTCATAAGCCTGCTGCTGGGTAAAAGCAGTGGGCGCTGACTTGAGGACACACTGACCCAAGAAGATCCAAGAAACTCTCCAAACAGTCTCTTGTTTGCTTCCCCTGGACTCAGTGACCTTCATTCTGCAGGTGAGGCCTCCAATCATAAACTCGAACCACTCCTTCCCTTTATGACCCAGCAGGAGGTAACACACGGTGCCCTGCAAACGCCGGAAAGGGTGTTCACGTCCCACACCAGCCTCCTAAACCATGATGTCACTTGGTTACTTATCAGATTTCAATCAAACAGCTCACAGCTCGGATCCAGAGCAACAGTCTCCTCCCTGAGCTCAAACTCCACTCCCACCCAGTGCCCAGCCCAGGACAGCCCTGGAGGAATCTGGATGATTCACACAAGACTGACCAAAAGTCACTCCGAGAACTGGGTCATGCACCAAGTCTGGAAGCCACCCAAGTTTGTTGCATTTGGTTGTAGCGGCCTGAACACACTAAGACAAGGTGTTTCTATTCTTACTGGGGGCTGGTCGATGAGCAACTGTTAGGGCTGGTGAATGGCTTAATCCAGAGTAAGAGAGAAGTTCTCAGGGCCACTCTCAGCCATAGGTATTCTCACAGGGCACAGGCATGGGAGGAGTGACAAGAGTGGGGAATCCTGATGTGTATCTTCAGAGCCCCGGGTAGCAGAGGCAGATCCCCGAGGGTGCTTCGTGAACTCTTTTTAACAAAAACTACCATGGGGCGCCTGGGTGGCTCAGTCATTAAGCGTCTGCCTTAGGCTCGGGTCGTGATCCCAGGGTCCTGGGATCGAGCCCCGCATCGGGCTCCCTGCTCCCCGGGAAGCCTGCTTCTCCCTCTTCCACTCCCCCTGCTTGTGTTCCCTCTCTCGCTGTGTCTCTCTCTGTCAAATAAATAAATAAAATCTTTAAAAAAAAAAAACTACCATGACACCAATTCAGATAGAAGAATGTACCTTGGGTCCTCTACTCTTCAAAGGAAGCAGCTGTAGCAGGCAGTCCCGTTGATGGGTGTCTTCATGAATGATTGGGGTGGATTGGGGTCTTCATTAATACTGTATTCTGTAGGGCCAACACTGTCCCTGCCAAGATTCCAGTGTCCTCGGTATCTCTCACCTCCAGCCCGGGGAGTACTATACTCGGTTCAGACTTGGTTCTCAATACTCCACCAGTGTGGTCTTCCAAGAGTGTTCCAAGGATCCATGTAGGGGAAGGGTGCCCCCAGTACCCTTTCAGGGGGCCTGGGAGGTCAAAACGATTCTCCTAATAATACCAAAACATTATTTGCCTTTTTCACTGTGTTGACATCTTGCACCAAGACCAAAGCAATGGTGCATAAAATCACCAGGCATCGAGGCTCCTGTACTAACAATCATTATATTCTTCGCTGCCAGAGTCTCAGTTGAAAAAAAAAAAAAAGCCAGTTTCACTTAAGAATGTTTCTGGAGTAGTGAAATTATTTTATTAAATCTCCACCCTTGCATGCGTATCTTTAATATGCTGCTGAACATGGAGAAACAGTGGTTGCCATAGGAAAAGCACCATGTGAGTCCGTGAGTAATGGGGTGAGCCTTGTTTATGGACTGCCTTTTTTTTTTGGAAAGAATAGCTGATATGACAAGTGTTGTTGCTCAGCCTGGGTATTTGGCACTTTCTCAAAAATGGATGAAGTGAGCCTGTCGCTTCAAGAAAGACAACCGACAATATTTGCTGTCAGTGATAATAGTTGCGCTTTCAAATGAAAATCAGAATTTTGGAAATTTCGTATGTGCCCCTGTGAGCTTGAGACTTTCTGCTACTTTTCTAATAGGATTGGTGGCGATATGAATGAATGTGACTTTTTAAATTATATTTGCAATGGTTCAGCATGCGGAAGATCTGCAGAACTCGGTGAACCAATATTGTCCAAATGACCAATGCATCGCGTGACAAAATCACAAAGCACGTGAGTGACCAGTGGATTTTAATGTGACATACAAAAAGGTTCACTGACATAGTTTCAGATTCCACACTACAGCTAACCTTTGAGAAACCACCACTTGCCCAGTTTTGATACAGTATCAAAGAAGAACATCCACCAGTCTCTGAGAGAGTCACTTGCATGTTCTCTCCTTTTCCACCTGCATGTCTGTGTGAAGCTGGGTTATCCCACACTTCAAATCAAAGCATCTGCCCCCAAATCTGCCCCCCATCTGCAGACCTGCTCCTACAAAACAGGACAGAGGGAGAGACGTGCAAAATTATTTTTATTACGTGCCACTCATCTCCTATTTTTGTTTGTTTTAGAACTATAATTATTTTTATAAAACGATATTATTTATGTTAATATGAGTTTTTTATTTGTTTTTTTTAAGTTGCAAATAAATATAGAAAAATACATTTCAATATTTAACGTTTTCCAGCTGTAATTTCAAATCCAGTAAATATTGATAGATGTAGCCCACACAAACGAAAGCTCTTTGGGGTCCTCAATCACTTTAAATGTTTAGATGGGTCCTAAGATCAAAACTGTATGCCTGGGGAAGGCTGCGGAAGCCCGTGAACTAAGTGCTGGTTTCCTAACTAGCGAGGCGCCACATTGTAGCCCATCCCAGCACTCTCCTTTGTGAGTCATGAGTAGCTCTGTTTAAAATCCTTTAGTGAGCTCTCTTTCAATGTGCCTTTTTGAAGAACACGCTTAGGGCGAGGGCTGGATGTTGGGGCCACGACGCCATAATCCAGAAACCTGCAGACACCTGCTGGCCACGTACCCCCTTGCGGGTGAAGTAGGCAGGAAGCAAGACCAGACCGCACGGGCCCATCAGGGGGACCGTCCCAGGCACACACTCTCCCGTGCTGCTAGTCCCTGGTTCTCCAGGACGCCGTGCCACTTCCACGCCTTTGTCTGGTGTCTCATCTTCTGTTTCCTGCTACTGCGCTTGTATGATCTCATGTATACATCCCTTTGGGGGTGAGATTTTGGCTTATGAAGTTTGGGGGGACACATTCAGACCATAACATCCAGTTTATCAATTCTTTCTCTTATGGATTATGCCTTGGATGTCCTATCTAAACCCAACCCAGACCCAAACTGGATGAGCTGGTATCATTGCCAAGCCCAAGGTCGTTCAGACTTTCTATGTCATCATCTGCGAGTTTTACAGTTTTGCATTTTACATTTTGTCTGTGATCCATTTGAGTTACTTTTTGGGAAGGGTGTAAGGTCTGTGTCTAGATTCACTGTTTGCCCATGGATGTCCCATTGTTTCAGCATCATTTGTTGAGAAGACTATTTTTTCTCCCTCTTATTGTTCCTCTGTCCAAGATCAGTCGACTGTATTGTGTGGGTCTCTTTCTGGCCCTCTATGCTTCTGTTCCATCCATCCCAAGAATAGATCTTGGGCAACGGCGCCATCTTGGTTACTGTGGGCTTACAGCGAGTCTCGAAGTCCAGCTTTGTCCTTCTCCTGCAGTATTGTGGTTCTCCAGGGTCTCTCCCAGTTTGAATTTTCATGGATTCCCACAGGCAAAGCCACCTTTTCTCACTCAGGGGGTGGTCATTTTCCCAGGCTTCCCTGGAGTTGGGAGCAGGAGTCTGTGCTCAGTGAGTATCATACTTTGCCTTCTTAAGAATATCTCCTCTTAAAAACACCCCTTTCTTCTGCTCTGCTACCCCAAAATGAGGGGTCCAGACTTCCAGACCTGCCTTTGCATATCTTGCTGTCAATCAGAGAGTAAAACGTGAATCCCCCACCGCCTCTTCCCAAGCCTGCACCTTCCTCATGTCCTCGTCTCCCCCTATCCATCAGGCTGCAGCCACACCGGCCACCTCTCTGTCCCTTGACCATGCCAAGCCCTCTGCTACCCGTAGGCTTGAGCCTACTCAGCCTCCCTGCCTGGACAGCACCTTCTCCCCTCAGGTCACCCTCACTTGCCGCCCCGAGGAAGCCTTCCCTGACCATCTACTGTGGAAGCGATTTCAATCTCCTTCATGGTTTTTGTCACAATATCCAAGTATCTCACCTGTTAGTTTACTTGCTAGCTAGCCATCTCGCAGAGGGAAGAGAAGCTTCTGGAGGACTGGGAGTTGCCTGTCTGATTTGTGGCTCTAGTCCCAGCTTCTAGAACAGTCCCTGAACAGAGTAGGCCCTCAATACACATGTAGGAATGCATGAGTAGGAGGAAATCTGTCTCCATTCATGTTTCTTCTGAAGATAAGACAGTGCTTCCCCCTGAAGAAGAAAACCTTGTTCCTTCTCTGTAAACCCAAGAGGCTTTGGAAAGCAAAGACACGGGGAGGAAGTTCCCTTCAGGCAAAGGCAACTTCTGCTTTTCATCCTGCTCTGAACCTCCACTGAAGGGAAGCTGGCTGTTCTCGGGAGCGTGGGGTCTGAAGACAGGACAGAGACAATTCCAGAAGGAATGGCCCGGACCAGTCTCTGGCGGACTGGGCAGGCCGCCCTCCCTGTGGGTGTCCTCACGGGGGTTCCTGCCGGCTCCCAGTGCAGTGGGCGGAGAGCCGTACACACACACACACACACACACACACACCACACACACACACACACACCCCGGCGCTGGCGTCAGCTCAACCCTCGGCCGGCCTCATTCCTGGTGCCGGACTCCTGTTCCAACAGCGCCCGGCCTGGGGCAAACGCAGGGCGGGGAGTCTGCATGTGAGCGAGAGCCCTGTTCCTTCTTAAGCGCCCGCCAGTCAAGCCCGGGCCAGACGGCCAGCCAGCGGGTGCCCCACACACCGCCACCTGTCCTGCAGCCCTGCCGGCCGCCACCAGAGCCAGCCGCCGCCCGCCCTCCATGGCCGACCAGCTGAGCGAGGAACAGGTGGCCGAGTTCAAGGAGGCCTTCTGCCTGTTCGACAAGGACGGGGACGGTGTCATCACCACCCGGGAGCTGGGCACCGTCATGCGCTCCCTGGGCCAGAACCCCACGGAGGCCGAGCTGCGGGACATGGTGGGCGAGATCGACCGCGACGGCAATGGCTCCGTGGACTTCCCCGAGTTCCTGGGCATGATGGCCAGGCAGCTGAGGGGCAGGGACAGCGAGGAGCAGATCCGCGAGGCCTTCCGCGTCTTTGACAAGGACGGCAACGGCCTGGTGAGCGCGGCCGAGCTGCGGCACGTGATGACCAGGCTAGGGGAGAAGCTGAGTGACAAGGAGGTGGACGAGATGATCCGGGTCGCCGACGTGGACGGGGACGGGCAGGTGAACTACGAGGAGTTCGTCCACATGCTGGTGTCCAAGTGAGGGGCCGGGCCTGGCGCTGTGGGAACCTGGGGCCGGCCTTGCTCCCTGCGTCCCTCGGGCCCCTGTGGGCTCTGCTGCTTCTCCGTTCCAGGTGACTCTGCCCACCTTTGTGCGCCTCCCTTTGTCCCCTTTTCCCTCTTCCCAGCCAGGTGACACGGGCCACCCCCAGCCCAGCAAACGCCAGGTGCTTCTGCCTGTCAGTAGCAGCAGTGACATTGCTCTGCATGGACAGTGGGCAGAGGACCAGTGCGAGTCCCACTGGCCACTGGGGAGGGTGACATCATAGAGCCCTTGGCTGGACCCCTGGAAGGCGCTCAGCACTGGGGCGGGGCCGCGGGAGCCCCCAGCTCCAGGGAGCGGTTCCGGAGCCTCCCTGGCTCCATCTGCCGCTCACTGGGGCGGGTGGGAGGGAACCGGCCTAGGTGAGGGGCTGCTGGAGATGTTGACACTTGCGATCGGGCTTCCCCGAGAAACGTCACCCCCTTTCCACGGGGCGCTCGCTTGTCTGTGATTCGTCCTTTGCAGCTGGGAGTAAAACTGGGGTTAATTGTAACACGTGTGTGTTCAGCTTCACGGAGGGAAATCTGAGCGGGAGGGAGAAGGAAGCACAGGGGAATAATAAAATGCTTGCATCCCTGTCACGTCTCCTTTTGTTCTGCTTCCCGCTGAAATGATCCTCGTTGCGTCTGGGGTTTAGATGAGGCGGGATCTCCATTTTCATGCTTTTTGCAAAGGCCACGAAACCTTGCGTTGGAGAGCAGAGTGAAAAGAGAGAAGCCTACAGAAGGTAAATCTTCAACGTTTATTTCAAATAAAATGGGGAAGTCAGTCGGGCCCCCGGAGCGCCGAGCGGATTACAGGTGGGAAGGCACCTGGTCGCCCGTTTCCATCACTCTGGGGTGACAGGAATAGGGGCGGCGACAGGAGGGTGCGAACTGCCCGTCCAGCACGTGTGACGTCAAAGCCACTGACATGGTTATTCCTGCATTTGCCGGCATTCCCCCGAGGTCAAAGGGACCCCGCAGAGGTTACCTCAGTGCCAAAGGGAGGCAGTGTTTTGTGCGGTGGGCGCTCTCCTGGGGCTGGTGACAGATGGCTGCCAGCCCGGTGATGGTCACACACCCGCTGGCTGATCTTGGCTAGGTCCTTGGTCCCCACACCCGCCTCCCCCGCACGCGTGCATCCTGACGTGTAAGACGAGGAACACGGGCACTGGGGCTGGACAGACTGGGATTTCCGGCCTTGGGACTGTTGCTGGCTGCCGAGCTCCAGGAGCGCTTCATGAAGAGAACAGCCGCCCCCCACCCCCCCACCTGGCGTGAGGCACCGTGGTGCACACTAGCTCACTACCACCCTGTGCCGTGGTTGCTGTGGGAAGCTTCCCCATCTCACAAATGAGGAAGCTGAGACAGGCGGAGCTCACGAAATCAGCGCGATGCCCCCCAGCTGGAAAGGGACAGGGCTGGGATTGCACACGGGTCTGCGCCCTTGACTGCCCCGAGCGGCCTCTCCACAGCCCCTTGGCCTCCACGGTGACTGATGACTGTATCAGTGCCTCTCTCGAGCATTTGCGAGACGATCAGAGATCATCGTAACGTGCCCGGCATGCAGTAGGTGCTTAGTAAGTAACACCTACTCTTGCATTCACCTTTAGGAACCCCCTTCAGCTCTAACACTCTGTGAGGCCTGGCCACGTACTTCCACCCCTCAGTCCAAGAGGGCGGGGGCTGAGGGGACGCCGAGGCAGGGTCTTGGACAGAACCCCGCCCCCCCATGCGGTGCAGCTGTGGAGCCCTCCCCCCGCCCCCCCATGCGGTGCAGCTGTGGAGCCCTCCCCCCGCCCCCCCATGCGGTGCAGCTGTGGAGCCCTCCCCCCGCCCCCCCATGCGGTGCAGCTGTGGAGCCCTCCCCCCGCCCCCCCATGCGGTGCAGCTGTGGAGCCCTCCCCCCGCCCCCGGGTGTGGAATCGGACAGCGGTGCTCTGACCGCAGGCCCTTGCAGGCTGAGCCTGTTTGAGCTAAGCTAAACACCTACAGGTGGAGAGTTAGCAAGCAGCCCCTCTGCATGCGCAGGGACGGAGCGTCCAGATGTCGTGGACGCAGCTCCCTTGGGGGCCTTGTGCAGAAGAGCCGAGTGAGTTGTCACCTCAAAGGTTCAGACATGCATGACGGTCCCACCTGCCAAAGGAAACACTGACGTCACCCCCAGGGACAAAAGGATTCCGGCTCAGTGTTTTTCATGGGACCAGGAAGCAAAGAACCAGGTAAGGAGGGGCTGGGTTCTGAGGTCCCCTCCTCCCCGGCTGGAGAGTGGGCGTTTAACCCCTGCTTTCCTGGTGTCAGCCTCGGAAGCCCCTGCAAGTGCGGGGCCCTATTTGCCTGCTGACACTCAGATAGAAAGGGATGAGGTGTCTTCTTGCGCCTTCCACCCAGCCTCCCCATGATTTAGTCGATGCAGATCTTATAATTACTGTAGGCATCCTGCCGGACCCACCCAGCCTGCAGTTTAATAGGCTTTAGCGTCTTTCATGGAAAGTCCTTGGGCCAGGGCAGGAGCTAGGGAGCTAGGGTGCTGTTGAAAGGCCTCCTGACAAGCCTCTCCTTTCGGTGTTCCCAGAGCTGGGCTGTGGATGAGGGGGCCAGCAGGTTGGAAAGAGGGTGCCAAGCTCCCCGCCGCCCCCAGAGTCAGGACAGCTCCTCAGACCACTGCCTGCCATCTCCACCACTTCTGTCGGGAGCTGAGCAGGTAGGAAACAGGCCTCTGGGAGCCCTCGGACGTAGGTCCCTAAGAAACGGGGTTCTCCTCACAGGTGGGAAACCTGAGGCGCTAAGGGCAAGGTGGGCCCACAGGGTTGAATATGTGCCCTCCCCTCCCTTCCCTTTGGTTTTACTTTCCTGAACTCAATTTTTAAAAAGCATTTGCTGTTGTCCTTCTCATCCAAGCAAGGTCATCGGCCAGCTTGGCCACATGGCTCAGCCCCTCTGCCCCCCTGCGAGGTTAAGGACAGGGAGCCAGGCCTGAGGCGGACGCTGCTGGGCAGGTGCTCTGGGATTCGGTGGAATCCCCTGCCTTGGCTGGTGGGTCCAAAACTCACAGTGGGTGTGCGAGCCTTTCATCGTGCCTGGCATGCACACAGGCCCCTCACGGCGGCGACCTCCGTGCCGGGCGTGGCTCTGACTGTGGGTGTCCGGTCACATGTCAGTCTCGGGAATCAGGCCCCTCGGGACTCAGGCCCCTCCCAGGACACCTGTGTCTGTCTTCAGCGCCCTCCATCTGCTTTCCCGTTCTTCTTCCACGCAGCCAGAACCTGTGTTGTCCCCTGACACCGAGGTAAATGTTGGTGAAATGTGGTCACCACAGTCAGCAGGGGTAGGTCCCTGGCCTTGCGGAGTAGGGCAGGGGGAAGCCTGGGGGCTGGAGCACCAGGGAGGAGCCCCCGAAAGTTCCTTGACTGGAGTGGGTCCCTGAGGGTGTAAGGAGGCCTGCAGATCAGCTTCCTTCCCCGAGTCTCTGGGGAGCAGACATCTCGGCAGCGGCTCCTCACCCACATTCCCTGTCATTGAATAATTGGACTTAACCTCCCTTCATCCCCCAAAAAGGTGCTATCTCACTGCAGCTCAGAAGAACATTCCATCCAGCCCCGGGGAAGGAATTTATAAATATTACCATAGGATTTCGCCAAGCCGCTCATAAATCAGTGCTCGGGGCTCCTGGACCTCCCAGAGGATATAAAGCTCCTCCTCTGCCTCCTGTGTTTCCAATTTTAAGTCAAACACAGCCCAGCCCTGTTGGCTCCTGTTGATCCTCACGGATTCCAGGGGCCTGTTCAAAGGCTCCCCGAACCAGCCAGCTAAAAATGACTCTGTTGTTCTCGTTGGAGAAATTTAAAATGAAAACTCATGCATGAGGTAGACTGCCCCAGGATGAATGGAAGCCATGGGGATCCAGGGTGTGTTTCTCCACCAAAAAACAAAGCACAAGCAAACACGCAAATGATCTCTAAGAAAGCTCTGGGCGCAGCCCACCTGCAGACCTCCCACCATCCTGCTGTTCTGGTGGGTGTCAGGCAGGAGGCTGGCCCCACCCAGAGGTGGCAAGGTAGAGCCCTTCCCGGGCCCTCCTGCCAGGAGCTGGGTGCTGGGGGGCAGGGAGACTGAAGGCTAAATGTTGGGAGGGCCCAGGCTGTCTCAGCTCAGCACATGGTGCTGCCCCGCAGGGCTGGGGAAACTGAGCATCGCCGTGGGAAAAGTCCGTGCAAGCCCACCAGCCATGTGCGAAGCTTACCCCCGCTTCGTCCCCACCGAGCTGGTCTCATCTCCTGGCCGTTGTGTGCCCTGCAGACTCTAGTTTGGAGGGCTTTCCCATGATAGAAGGACAGCTCTCCCTGAGGGCATGCTTCCACACCTCCCCGGGGACCAGGACCCTGTGAGATGCCCACCCTGTGCTGCACTAGCTCATTTCATCCTCAGAACGGGTGGGTGTGGCAGCTACATCTATTAGCCCATTTTAGAGAAGGGAAGATTGAGACCTCAATAGTTTAAATAGGGGCTCCTGGGTGGCTCAGTCGTTAAGCGTCTGCCTTCGGCTCAGGTCATGATCCCAGGGTCCTGGGATAGAGCCCCGCATCGGGCTCCCTGCTCCACGGGAAGCCTGCTTCTCCCTCTCCCACTCTCCCTGCTTGTGTTCCCTCTCTCGCTGTGTCTCTCTCTGTCAAATAAATAAATAAAATCTTTAAAAAAAAAAAAAGTTTAAATAACTTCCCCAAAAGTCACACAGTCTAGTAAATTAGAGTTTGAACCTGGGTCTGACTGGCTCCGAAGCTCCATCCTTCCTACCACTGATGAGAAACTTCTCGGAGCAAGCTGGGCAGAATTTGGGCAGACGGGACCCAGAGAAAAGAAAGACCTTAAATGGTATCGAGAAGCACGGGAGCCATGAGATCCCCTGGGTCAGAGGTTAGGGGACTGCAGAGGGGGATTGTCAAAATTCCCCACCACCCAGAGCCCCTCTTGCCCTGGTGCTGGCTGTGAGTACAGGCACAGGGTGCTGCGGTCCCTAGCAAGTGGAGGTGGCCACCATCAGCAGGAGAGAACTCTGCCCTGGCCACATGTTTGGGACAGTAGACCATCCCGTGCAGGTGTCTCTCCGGCCAAAGCTGGGCCTAAGCCTTGTCATCGATACAGAGCGGCTGGGCCATGTCTGGGCCTCTCAGCCTCTTTGTGGAAGGAGGGCTCTATCTCCCACCCAAACTCATATCATGGGGTGCAGGCGATGGGCAATCAGAAAAGACACAAGTCCTCCCTTAGAGGTTGAGTTATGTCCCCCCAAAATTCGTATGGTGGAGTCTTGACCTCCCCCAGAACCTCAGAATGTAAGCTTATTTGGAGATAGGGTCTCTATTGAGGCGATCAAGTTAAAACAAGGCCATTAGTGTGGGCCCCAATCCAGTATTACTGATGTCCTTATAAGAAGGGGATATTTGCGGACACAGGGACAACCATGTGCACACACAGGGAGAAGACAGGTTCTGTTCACCAAGGAGACCAGCCTTGGGAGAAGCCAGGGCTGTCCACAGCTGGACCTCTGACTTCTGGCCTCCAGATGAGATTTATAATTGTCTACTGCTTAAAGCATCCAGCCTGTGGTAGTCCATGACAACAGTCCTGGCAAATATGCCCCCAAAGGGAGGTCGGAGGGACCCACAGACTGTTTTCTTACCCTGAGTCCCAGGAGGGCTGCGGGGACCCGGCCAGAGCTGGCTTTCTCCTGGGCCCTCTGAGTAGTGCGCTGAGTCATATGCCCTGGGTTCTGGAGAAGACCCAAACAAGGAAGGCGAGGGGGAGAGGCAATCCCCTCAGCGTAGGGAAAGGCAGTCCACAGACTTGGGACTCGCCGTTGGTGTCAGAAGCCTGGCTCGTCACTCCCAACCTCGACACTCCCAAGGACCAGAGTCGGCATGATGAGGCCCAGTGAAGTCTGGGGTGCATCCTCTCTGTCTCCAGGCTTGGACGCAACGTGGCTTTCCTACCACCGGGCCCGAGGTGGAGACGAACTCTTACACGGGCAGGGCCTTAGAACCGCACACCATCTTAGACGCTCTCTGGCCTAATCTCCCATCCAGGACCCAAGGCCTAAAGGTGACGACATCCTGGGGAGGTGACTCCTTTGCATCTCCTTGGGATGTGCCCATTGTGGGGAGTTCAAGGCCAATTGTCCAACGGTTGGATAATTTTTATCCTTAGACAGCGTTTCCTTATTGGGTCTGAAATGTGCCTCTTTGCAACTTCGCACACTGGCCCCTTTCTTCCTCCCGTCTACGTTCTAGAGAGATTCTAGAGCACCAGAAAATTAGAGGCCCCGGCTTCCCCCTACTCAGTACTTCAAAGAGCTGGCAACCTCTCCTGTCCGGGACAAGCAGCACTAACCCTTTCAAGAGTGTGTTTAGATGACGCACGTCTGGCCCCCTCGCTCTTGACACATTTCAGCTTTCATCAATCCCTTGCGGTGACGCGTCCCTGGACCCCAGCCAAGTTTGACCAATGCCGGTGGTGATGGGGGTCACCTCTCCCTGTTCCGGACATAGCACTTCTAAAGAATGAAGTTCAGGGTCAAACCAGACTTGTGCCCAGGCGATGCGCCACTCCTTCGGCCAACACTGTCGAACATATGTGCGTGCGTGCATGCGTGCATGCTGGGCTCTAGGGGACACAAAGGTGAAGATCAGAACACAAATGGTGGCATGAGGGATGGATGGAGACGTG